AATTACTATGAAATTAATAGTGGTAATGGTGATGGTAAAACCAAAGTGAAAAAATGAATAAATATTTGTTCCAAAATAGTACCTGTAATGTTCTCCATGGAAAGAAGCAAGAACTAAGGATGAATCTTTCATGAGCTTGAATGTAATTTTTAATAGTAGTTGTAAGAGTCTTGTAATATCGTTTTGTTGCTCTGGCACATGACATTGGTGCAAAGAAAATCATCATACTGGAAATCCCCCTGATTTTCCCACATTAACAATCAGTATGTTAGTAGACTCTCACTTTAGGTTAACCAACTCATCTCGATTTTCTGAGGACATTTCTGGCTGTAGCACTGCAAATCTAACACTCTGAAAAATTCACAAATTCCAGGCAAATAGGGACAGCTCATTACCCTCTCTCTACAGTCAAAGGGGACAGACATTGGCTGTGTGCCACTTTCTGGTAAAAAACATTATAAAGCCAGCAAGACGTTTACATCTGTTACCAAATTTTCTGGATGCTTATCAGCATTATTTTTTAGAAACAAATTTGGTGAGACCTCTACTGTAGGACAGAAAGGAGTAACTTGTGGATCCCCCCAGAAAAACTAGAAAAGCTGCGTTAAGAAAATCTGTTTAAAGACATAAGAGAAGTATTGAAGCCTCTGATAGGGAAGGGGCCAAGTCTCTGGTGAGGGGATATGGCAGAGAGCTGAAATGACCTTCTGAAGTAACTTTTCCTCCACAGGGGTACTTGCCGCTCTGAGCCTTAGACAGAAGACCTGGAATCTGAACACTTTCTGAGCAAAGGGCCTCTGCTAGGTCTAGTGAAATCAGCAGAAGTATGGGTATGTTTTGGAGGTGGAGTACAAAATTGTAGAATGAGGGCCAATTCCTAATGAGAAGGAAGAGGTAGAAAAGTCAGTCTGACAATCCGACTATCCTCCTTGATAATATATTATAATATATTGCATGTAATAATACATGTATATACATTGTATATAATGCATTGTATATAATAATACATTAATAATAATATGTGTATATATTATATGCAATATAATTATATACAATATAACATATTATTGAGTATAATCTGATTGTCAGACTCTATTATATAAATATATATATAATTCTAAATTTGCATAGGGTTGGGTCTTAAAAAACCAGGCAGAAAACCTCGGGAAGGCAGAGCATAGCATTTCTGTGATGTAACCAAGCCTAGCAAGAAAGGATTAGAGATCAAAGCTCTAAACCCGGTGCCTGGAAGGCTATGCCTTAGGAGTAGACTCATCACAGATAGACCCAGCTCAACCAGACACGACTGACCCTCGGAGAAATGTCTCCCAACAGCCATTTTTGGAATATAGCAGTAAATGCTGTGTGCTATATCCACAGACGGGTGGTTCAGCTTATATTTGGGTCCAGAAATCAATAATTTAGTGTCTTGAAGTAATTGCTGTAATTTTTTTTTCTTTCTTAGAGATTGTTTTCAAAGACAACAATTCGTAACTAGAACAAGCACTGCTTGAATTGTAGTCGATATCAAATAAGATTATTTGCATCAAATCTCTGTAAAACTATAACTCATCACTGTAAGACCATTGATCTGTCAACAGTCATTTTCTCTGGAATCTCAACTGTGTCTTTAGAAACTTATAAAATGTAATTATTATACAATTCCCAGAAATATTTTGAAAACAAAAACCATCTTGGAAACAGAAATGGTACAATATTATTATATTAGCATAAATTCTTGAGAAAAGTTTCAAAATATCATACTTTTTTAATATTTGAAAGTTACTTAGAGAGCAGTAAATATTAGATATTTTGTTTTTAGGATTTTTTTGACTTCCATGTTAAAATACAATACTCAAATAAAAATTTGATTTTTAACTTATGAATGTTTCATTTTAAAGTGTACATCATCAACTGGGAGAATGTTTGTTAAACCCAAAACAATAACAGAACGCAACTATCGTAAACTTTAAATCCTTGAATTGTAGCATTTTCTAAACCATGCAGAATAATCACAGAAGATAAAATTTATATCTATTAAATTGTCTTTAAAAACATTTATAACATAGTGTAACTACGAAATAAAGAGATTTTGTTGCTACTTAATAGCATCAAACTTACAAGTCATTATTCTGGCCCACATCTCTCTTCTACAACTGGTGCTTATGGGGAGGTGTCCTTTTTCTACTCAGTGTAATTTATCTTTCCAGATTATTTCCCGGCCACCCATCCTAGAAGATTACTTTGACTCTCCTCTCATAAGACTATACAACCAATGATCTATCGTTGCAGTTATTTATTGTTTCCTGAGGTACTACCTTAAAAGTGTCTCTGTCACTATTTTCAGCATTACTTCTGTTATATATCTTGAGGTTTCAATATCCACACTGATAGTTCTTTCAATAACTGTCACGTCACTTCTGTAACCACCTCGCTTCCAAATATTACTCAATCTTTTCTAAACTATTCACTCCTATGATCATTCATTAGCTCTTATCATTTCCCAAAACTTCATCTCCTTTACCACTTCAGTTTCTAGCATTCAACTCTTTACTAACACCTCCAAAATTTCAGATCATTCACAAATCATTGTACCCTGACTTCACAAAAACGTTTTACTTTACTAAGACTCTTATTCATTGGTCTTTTTAACTTTATATTGTTTCTGCCTAATATCTTCATTTGCCACTCTTTCCAGCATAAATGCAATGGGGATTCATTAGGAGAGCCAGTAAAATTACTTCTTTGCATTGCTTTTTTTACACTTTCAGCTGAATTCTGCTTCTACACTTGGCAAATCCACAATACTATGAATTGCGGGGTGGGGCACAATTCAGCCCATAACATCCACTATTGAAATTAGAGATTTTCCCTTTCAGAGCTTTCCAAATCACATTTATCAAAGATGCAGAGTTTAAGTATCTCAGTACTTAAAATGAGACTTTGTGGCAATTTAGAGTTAGTATGGTACAAGAAGTTATTTTACTTGTGAAAACAAAATCTAAACGTGGTTTATATGCTTAATTCTTTGTGTGTGTGCAAACTTATGTCAAATATGCTTACAAGGCGGGCAGTTGAGACTATTCTAGAAACAATAGTGTTATAATACAAACATAACATGCAATTAATATTTAATGATGTCAGAACCAGTGGAAGTTATGACTTTGAAAGAAAGTTAGATAAGAATTATAGAAATGGAAAACATAAAAAATGTTATCCACTAAACTGTCCATCATAAATAAAAAAATAATTTTTCAAGGAAAAAAAGTTACTCAAGCCCATAATAGTGGAGAGTTTCTAGAATACATTAAAGTGTATACACATTGAGAAAAGGAAATAGGTTTTAGAAATTCTGAAAAATCTCCTGATAAAAACATGCACAAATGCTAAATAAAATAAAATTAATATATTTTTACTTGGTACAGACAAAAAAAGTCATTGAAATGTATGCTTAGTATATTTTTCAATAAATAGCTCAAATGAGAGAAGTTGAATTCAAAGGAATTGAAAGTAAAAGGATGGTAAAAGATAAACTGGTTACATTATATCAAAATATGCAGATATAGGTATAGTTATATTGGAAAAAATAACATTCCAAGTAAAAGCATCATTAGAGATAGAGACACACTGCATTCTTACAAAAGTGTGTAATTCCACCAAGTAAAAAAATAACAGTCTCAAACTGATACACATTTAAAAATTTTGTCTCAAATATAAAAGCATAAAATTTAACTGAATAATAGAGAAATTGTCAAATCCACCAGTAGTGCAAAAATATGATTACATATCTCTCGTTCTTAGACCAAATCTTTAGAAGATCTGAACACCAGTGTGAGCTAATAAATATTTATAGAACACACTCCAAATTAGCTAATATATGTTATATACACATTCACATTCCATAAGTGTACATTAATAAACACACATTAAATTTTGCAAAAGTTGACCATGTACTCAACGACAAAATAAAACTGAACACATATTTTAGAAATCATTTAAATTAGAATTAACTTAAAGATGAATAACAAAATAATTGCTAAATTATGCTCCATTCATTTCATAAATAAAGTTATTTATAACTCGATCATGAATTCAATAAATAACTAAACGTAATTTAGAAATAATATAGAAAAGGACAGAATCGTGCCCAACTCATTTTATAAGGCAGTGTTACTCTGATACCAAACCCAGGCAAACCATTACAAGGCAAGGAACTACAGATCAATATTTCTCATGAACATAGATGCAAATATTCTTAATAAAATTTACCTGGATTTTTAATTAAATAATATGTAAAAGGATAAATACATCAACAAGTGGGTTTTATTAAGATAATGCACTATAATGTTGCATTTGCATTAAAAACCAATCAATACGATTCTCCATATTAACAGACTAAAAAAGGGGAAAAACCATGTTATCATCTCAATAGAAGCAGAAAAACACTTGACACTAGCCAACATGCTTTACTGAAAATTAAAAATACATATATCAGCCAATAAGAAATAGAGGGAATTTCCTGGACTTGATAAAAGGCTTCTATGAAAACTCTAGTAAAATGCTTTCTCTCTAAGATCAAGAACACAGTAAGAATCTGCATTGTCACCATTTCCATTCAACATTGTACCGAAGATTTTAATCAGTGCAATTAATTGATCAATCAATCAATAAAAGTAGTCCAGATTGGAAAACAAGTAAAATTATCTTTGTATAAGATATTATTGTGTACATAGAAAATACTCTAGAGTGTGCAAAAATGCTGCTAGAACTAGGTGAATTAGTAAGGTTGCAGTATACAAGATTGGTATAGAAAATCAATTTGTACACTAGTAACAAATAATCTGAGCTTAAAAAAATACAGTATCATAAAAAATTTGCAATACTTTGGAATAAGTCAGATAAATATGTGTAAGAACTTTGCACCATGACTGCATAGCATAGCTAAGAAAAATGGACAAATATTTAATAAATGGAGATATATAAAACGTGTATTTCTCAAGAGACACAATATTACTAAGATATCAATTCTTTCCATAGTTATCTATAGATTCAATGCAATCCCAATCAAAAGCCAAGCAGGATTTTTTTTTTTAACTTGACAAGTTAATTCCAAAATTTATATAGAATAGCTAAAATAAATTTTTTTTTTAATGAGGAAGATCAGCCCTAAGCTAACATCCGATGCCAACCCTCCTCTTTTTTGCTGAGGAAGACTGGCCCTGGACTAACACCCATGCCCATCTTCCTCTACTCTATATGGGATGCCGCCACAGCATGGCTTGACAAGGGGTGCATCGGGGCACACCCAGGATCCGAACCTGTGAACCCCGGCTGCTGCAGCAGAGCGTGCACCCTTAACCACTGCACCACCAGGCCGGCCCCAAGAATAGCTAAAATAAATTTGAAGAACACATTTGGAATAATACCATATCTAATTTCAAGACTTCTTATAAAACTATACTAACCAAGAGAGTGTGGTAATGTCATAAAGGCAAACGATGGAACAGAACCACAGGACAGGACAGAACAGAACAAAACAGAAGAGAGATAAACAATTGAACAATGAAACAGATCAATGGAACAGAACAGAGAGTCCAGAAAGAAATATATATACAGTCATGCACTGCATAACAACATTTTGGTGAATGACGAACTGCATATAAGAGGATGGTCCTGTAAGGTGAGTACCATATAGCCTAGATGTGTAGTAGGCTATACCACAAGGTTTGTGTAAGTACACTCTATGATGTTTGCACAATGACGAGATTGCCTAAGAAGCATTTCTCAGAACATATTCCACCATTAAGCAATGCATGACTGTACGTGGGTGTGAATTTATTGTTGGCAAAGGTGAAAGGGCAATTCAGTAGAGAAATAATAGCCTTTTAAAATAATGGAGATGTAACAACTGGTTGTACATATGCCAAAAAATTACTTTGATCCAAACTATGTAGCATACGCAAAAATTAACCCAAGTGGATCATAGGCATAAATGTAAAACCTAAAACAATAAAATTTCCAGTAAAAAGTCTAAGTGAAAATCTTTGTCACCTTGAGTTAGGGAAAATTTATAGACACAATATCAAAAACATGATCCATAAAAGAGAACAATGATCAATTGGACTTACCAAAATTAAGAATTTATGGTCTTCAAAAGACATCACTAAGAAAATTAAAACACATGATCCAGGCTGTAAGACAAGTTTTGTGAGTCAAATATCTGTTAAAGAATTAGCATTCAGATATAGAAATATTTTTTAAAGCAATAACAGGAAAATAAATAATTACATTTAAAAATCTAGCATGGATTTATACAGACATTATCAAAGAAGATATACAGATGGCAAATAAGAATATGAATATATGTTCAAAATCACTTATACATTGGGGAGAGGAAAAATTTAATCTAAAAGAGATACCACTACACATATAATAGAATGCCTAAAATATAAAACTCTGACTATTGATAGCAGTGGCAATACTATGGAGGAACTGGACTCTCATACAATGCTCATGTGAATGCAAAATGGTTCAACCATTTCGAAAAACAGTTTTGTAGTTTCTTAAGAAGTTAGTCATACAGCTTCCATTTGACTCAGTCATTCTACTCCTAGGTATTTACCAAAGGGAAAAAGGAATAATTCAAAGATCTGTACAAAATGTTTAACATGGTTTAATTGTAATGGCCCCAAACTGGAAACAATCTAAATACCCATCGACAAATGTGTAGGTAATAAAATTTTGCTATAACCAAACAATGTAATATTACTATGCAATAAAAAAAGAATGAACTATTGATACATGCAACAACATGGATTACACTGAGAATAATCATGTTGAGTGAAAGATACCAGACCAAATCTATGTACTTTGTTATTCCATTTATGTAAAATTCTAGAAAATGCAACTAATTGATAGTGATAGAAAGAAGCAGATCAGTGGTTCCTGGGGACTGGCTGGGACAGGAGATTGGAAGGGCAGAGAGGAAAAGACGATAGTGAGGCACAAGGAAGCCTGGGGAATCGGTGGGTTTATCATCTTGATAGACACATAAATGGTTTCATGGATGTACACATATGTCAAATATTATTAAATTATATGCTTCCAATATATTTAGTTTATTATGTATTAGGTATATCTTAATAAAGCTGTTAAAAACTAGCATATGAGAACAGTGCTATGGAACACAATAAAAGAAAGATTTATAAATGGTAGTTGATGAATCTCTCAGACAGGGGACTGGAAAAATGTCTGATATTAATCATTAATGAACTTTCTATTAAAATGCATGATGCTTTATTCTAAATCTTGTGCTTTTCCTCTATATGGAAAAATAGTATGAGATAGACATAGTTTATATGAATTATATTGATTAGACTATTTATGCAATTTATTCAGATTTTCTATTTTTTAATGTTCTATAAAATTCAGGTAATGTAATAGAAAGCAATTATATTTCAAAGAACTTTCTACATCTATGTTCCAGAAGATATTTATGGTATATAATAACACACATAGAAATTGCCTTAACAAAGATTAGCTTCATATTCCACTTTAAGTCTAAAATGAACTCCTGTAAGAAATATCAGGGCATGGAAACTGAAGTTTCATGCTTTTTCTAGATGTAAACGTGTAGGGACAGAATGAGATCAAATGAAATAAAAGAAATGCATGTTTTTGCAAGAGATGCATTCCTGAATACCACTTAAGGCAAACTTGCATAAAATCAAGATTGATTCAAAGATAAACATAAAGTAGAATAATTGTCTCTTTGACCTGTAGAGTTTGTAACATGTTTTTTGGTACAATTTTATCCTAGTTTCTTCCACTACATAACAGCTTTAAACAAATTCTAAGAGAATATTGGTGTCTTGAGAGTTTTTTTACATTGTCCTATATACATTCATTATATATGTCCTATATACATATTCATTGCAACATATATACAATACATTTTACATTGTCCTACCTACCATTCTTTTTTCATGATTAGAAGTCAATGTAAAAATTTTAGGAGGACTTGCAGACTTAATATTTCCTAAATCACCAGGTTTATGTGCTTATTGCATATCTTCTTTGGTGAGGTATTTGTTCAGATTTTTTCCATTTTCTTCTCTAAGTTTATAGTTTTGCCCTTTCTTTTATGGAGGCAAGTTGGTATTAAACATTATATAAGTTTCAGGAGTATGACATTATAATTTGATATTTGTATACACTACAAAGTGATCACCACCATAAGTGAACTTTATATTTAGGTCTATGACCTATTTTGTACTAATTTTTGTAAAGGTGTAAGATCCATGTCTAGGTTTATTTTGTTTTATTATTTTTGCAGTTGAATGGCCAATTATTCCAGCACTATTTGTTGAAAAGACTATAATTTTCCATTTACTTTTTTTTATCTTTGTCAAAAATCAGTTGACGCTATTCGTGTAGGTTCATTTCTGGGCTCTCTAATATATTCCATTGATCTGTCTATTCTTTCACAAATGCTCTGTTGTTTTCCTGTAGATTTATAGTAAATCTTGAAATTCAGAGGTGTGAGTCTTCCAGTTGTGTTGTTCTTTAGTATTGCATTGGTTGTTCTAGGTATTTTTACTTTCCATATAATCTTTAGAATAAGTTTGTCAATGGCTACATAATAGCTTTCCAAAATTTTGAATGGAATGGAATTGAATCTATAGATCAAACAGTGAAGAATTGACATCTTAACATTGTTGAGTTCTCCATTACATGACCATGGAATATCTCTTATGTATTTAGGTCTTTTTGATTTCCTTCATCAAAGTTTTGTACTTTTCTACATATAGATCCTGTACATATTTTGTTAGATTTATAACTATATATTTTATTTTATTTTTTTCTGTGTAAAGATTGATCTTTTAAGTGGTGAACATTTGCTTTTTCCTTTGTCCTTTCTTTTCTTTTTTCAGGTGTACATCATTATATTTCGATTTCTGTATAGATTACATCATGTTCACCACCTGAAGACTAGTTACAATCCATCACCACACACATGTGCCGAATAGTCCCTTTTGCTGTTCTCCTTTCCCACTTTCCCCTCTGGTAACCACCAATCCAGTCTCTGTCTCTATGTAATTGTTCATTGTTGTTTTTATCTTCTACTTATGAGTGAGATCATACAGTATTTGACTTTCTGATTTATTTCACTTAGGAAATATTTTGTTTTAGGGTGCTATTGTAAAGCATAGTTTTATTCCAATTATACATTGCTAGTATATAAGAAAGCACTCGATTTTTTTTTTTAATTTTAACTTTGTACACTGTGACCTTGCTATAATCACTTATAACTTTCAGGAGTTTTTCTGTGGATTTTTTGGGATTTCCTACAAAGACTATGATATCATCTGTAAATAATAATAGCTTTGTTTCTTCTTTTCTAGTCTGTATATATTTATGTTTTCTTGTCATATTTCAATAGCTAAGGATTCTTGTATAATCTTGAATAGGAATGATGAGAGAAGAAAATTTTGCCTCATCTTAGGGAAAAAGTGTCCAGTTTCTCAGTATTATGTATGATGTTAGCTTTAGCTCTTTATTGTAGATTTTTAAAATCAAATTGAGGAAGTTCCTCTTTATTTCTAGTTTGTTGAGAGTTTTTATCATAAACAGTTGTTGATTGTTGGCTAATGTTTTTTCATGAGTTGCTATTATCATTTGTTCTTTGCCTGTTGGTTTGGTAGATTACATAGAATGATTTTGAATGTCAAACCACTCTTGGATATCTGGAATAAATCTTGCATGGTCACCATGTATAATTCTTTTATACATTATTGGACTCAATCTGCTGTTATCTTCTTGAGGAATTTTGCACTGATGCTCAAGAGAGTAGTTTTTGTTTTTTTTTGTGATGTTTCATACGTTTTTGGCATTGGGGTAATGTTGGATTTGTAGGATGGGTGAGAAGTGTTCCTTCTGGCATCTTATCAAAGACATTGTGGAGAATTGGTATAACTTCTGTATATAATTGACAGAAATCCCTAGTGAAATCATCTTGGCCTCATGCTTTCTTTTTTTTGAAGGGTATTAATTATTGATTCAGTTACTTTAATAAACATAAGCTTA